TTTGGTTGGTTTGCACCTGATATGTTGCCTAGCAGGTAAGTTGTGAAATAAATTTGATACAAGGATTTTCAGTAGGAATAAATTAATTAATCAAAGATAATCCAGCCGAGAAAAAATAAAACCGAAGAGGAGGCCCCTCGCCCCAGCCAGCGACTGCGGGCACAGCAGAGTCACCGACCACGGCGCCCAGCTCTCCATGCTCGCCGCTGAATCTCCCTCCGGCGCTGCGATGGCCCGGCGAGGTCGGTTTTGGGGCTGCGTGGCCTGTGTCTGGGACTGCGCCTCATGGGGCCTCTGGTGCACCTGCAGGCACTGTCGGTCACTCCTGCGGCGACATCCAGCTCCTTCAGTTCTTCGTTGTCCCCAGGCCCTAGGACACCTTCCTAGTCAACCCGTCTGGATCACCGGCCGATGTGGGGCGTCCCGTGATCTGTGACTAGCGGCCTCAGGGCGGTGGCTTCGCGAGCCCGTCGTCCCCCTTTCCCCCCTCACTGCACCCTTCCACCAAAGGGGCAGCTCGGCGGGGCGCTCCAAGGCTCATCGGTGGGCGGACCATGACCTCATCGACGACTCCAATGTGGAAATGCCACCAACCACCTCTCCAACGGGGGGTGTTAGCGTCCGCCCATCAGACGGTAACACCTGGCTTTCCCGCCCATCGCATGCCACAGCAGCTCGCGGCCGCGTGCACTCTGAGGTGGCGCGAGGCCAACAACTGGTAGGGGTGCACAGCTAGGCGTAGGGCGTGGTGGCGTGAAGCACAGCACCTCACAGGGGCGCATGGCCAGGATCTGGGCACAACAGCTCAAGGCGGCATGGGACACGGCCATGTGGGGCCTTGGTGGACGCCTCGATGGTCACCGCGGCATGGAGGAGGTAGCAAAGGAACACGGCCGGGAGGGCGCATCGTCGTCGGTGGGAGGGAGCGCCTTTACTATGGCCTCGAGCGGCGCGCGCTTGTCCTCCCGGACGACAACGTCCAGGTCCTGACGACAGATAGAGCTGACATGTGGGTCCAGACCCGTTTGGATGAATATGTGACCCGATTTGAGTTTAAGGACCGGAATGACACACTTTCTGAGTTCCGAGACCGAGATGACACACCCCAACAAGTTGTAGGCCCAGCCATGTAGTTTACTCTTAATACTATGAACTTTTTTACTATGGTTGGAGAGGCGTCAGGAAGCGTTAGATGTGTCTATGATTGGTGGGCCCATATGAGGGAAGGTGTTGAGAAGCGTCAATGAGGGAGACGTCGGGATGCGTTAGATATGTCTATGGTCGGTGAGCCCATATGGGCCATAACACCTCCCAATGCCTCAAAGTTAAGAGGATTAGGACTTCAAATAAAAGAGTGGCAATTCCTTTTTCGTAGTTATTTTTTTTAATCAAGGGTAAAATGGTAAATCCACAATTGTAAAAATAATGTTTTGAGTAGTATAGTTGGGATGTATGATTTAAGTACTATAGTGAATATTTGCTTTAAAAAAAAGATGAATATTTTCGTCTTGTTAGGGTTCATTCGCCGCTGTCTCTGTATTCTCCGTCTGTGTGCAGACACCGTCCGCCGCCATCGATCCATCCACGGGAGGACCTCGACACGCTGCGCCGCTCCTGCATCGTCTCCGTCAAGATCCGGGCCCGACCCCTTCTCACCAGCCCTCAACGGGACATGCTTCACCGTGCTGAAATGGACATCAAGCTGTGAGAAGAGCGTGCATCCATGGACCGTGCACTCAAGGAGGAACCTGACAAAATGGATTCCAAACATCATGCTTCAACGGGACATGCTCTTAGACAGAAAAATATAGTACAATGGCTGTCTAATAGTGCAGAAACCAGCAGCTGAACAGGGCCAAAGGAACCAAGAAATTTACAATTTTTACAAGAGGCAATGCCTAATAGCTATCCTTCTTGTCACTTCCAATATTTAATTTCAGAACTATGTGTGTGGTCACACCATATTTTTTCTGTTACGTACATATTTGTATCGTTAGTTTGGTCCACTATCGTCGCAGATTATATGCTTTTATTTAGTCATGGAGAGGATGATAGAACATTACAGGATCACTAGCCATAGATCTAGCATACAAAACTGATATTTGATAAAGTGTAAACCCTAGAACATGTACTAGTATGGGATTAATAGATAGAGTGAGAGAGAGAGAGGGGGGTTGAGGAGGTGCAAACCATCGGCCGCCTTCGTGGAAGACGAGCTGGCCATGGGGTTGCTTGACGGTGGCGCGGTGAAGACCGACGGCGAAGGCGCTGTCGCGGTGGCGGCGGTGCAGAGGCGGCAGTGGCCAGTGGCAGTCTTTTCGTCGCTGGCAGCACCCCCTCTTAAATCGGTTAGGGTTTAGGGACTGTAGGTGGCGATATAGTAATTTGCCACTAATAATCGACGCAATAGTGCTGAAGATTATTAGTGATAAATTAATGTTTCATCGGACGCAATAGTGCCGGTGACCGTGCACTCAAGGAGTTTGCCACTATTTATTAGTGATAAATTAATGTTTCATCACTAAATTCGCCACTGAAGGTGCATCCTGTGGCGATATAGTAGTTTGCCACTAATAATCGACGCAATAGTGATGAAAATTAGTTTGGTTTCTAATAACATGGGAATCAGTGACAAATCAAGATTTCGCCACCACATTTTATCTCTGATGCTCGGTCTTCCTGTAGTGTAAACACTTCATTAACTGTGGCCATAGGTTCCGTGTTGACACCGGATTCAAACACATCATTAACGGTAGCCATATGTTCCTCGTTAGTAACAGCCTCGTGGAGGGCTACGCATGGCCACATCATCATCGTTTTCTGCAGAACATTCACACCAACCTTCTCATGCATACTCCATATCGTATAGTTTGGCATGAACCCCCTGGTAATCAAGTGCATTCGTACAAACTCAATTCTCTTCCATTTCCTTTGATTCATGCAATCTTTGCATGGGCAGAAGATAGGGTTTCCATCCCCAGCATCGGTTTTGGCATCGGCGATAAACTTGCTGACGCCAAGCATGTACCGCTTGTCCATTCGGGACAGATGCATCCACTCTCGATCTATCTCTGCAAAAAAAATCGAGACAGTAATTACAGAGAAATTAATAACATGTCGAGCTTAATGAACAACAATTGCAGCTCGAAAGTACCATTTATTCTACACTTATTTAATTTAGTCACCACATTTTAGAAAAAAATTATTCTACACTAATTATTGAGAAATTGAAATTGGTAGCTCTAGCGTATAAGTTGAAAATTATAGTCCCATAAAAAACAATTGTTGCACAATAATTAAGAACAATTATTCTACTCTACTCCAAACAATGTGTTGGTAGGTGACACTAATTAAAAAAAGACTAAAATCGGAGACATGATCATGAACAACAATGTACCTCCAAACAATGTGTTGGTAGGTGACACATGGATTAATTTGCTCATCAAAATTGTAAAAGAATCTACTCTACTCCTAAGAACTAATTATAGCATCACGTACTAACAATCATCTTGAGCACCATGTAATTAGCTAGGAATTTAAATGTGTTCATAGACACCAACCTTTTGGATGATAGATTCGCCACAATTTGCTTGAAAGCCTTGCATAAAGTCCAATTGGAAAAGTGTTCTTTAGAATGGAGAAAGAACTAGAATTAGAATCAAGCAATGTAGCCATCAAAACAACGCTAATTAAGCAACAAAATCAAAGGAGTTGATGCTTGTTCCTAAACTTTAAGCAAAAAGATCAAGCCATTCTTCCAAATACAAGAGCAAGCTTCATGGTGAAGAGCAGCCGCAACAATGGAGGGAGCAGCCCAAACCAGCGTCTCAGAGCTCAGCATGGAAGAGAGGAGGAAGGAGAGGACAGAACCAGCTTTTTGTACTGTTATTTTATTACCGTCGGTTCTTGGCTAGAACCGACAGTGATAGCCTAAAATCACTAACGGTTCTTCACTAGAACCGGTAGTGATAAGTGACCGTCAACTCACTGGCGGTGCTAGCCACGAACCGACAGTGATGTGGACCTTCACTGTCGGTTTTAGCCCACCCCTAATCATTTTTTGATTTTCAAGCTCAGAACCAGCATTAAAGGTACATCATTGCCGGTTCGCCCAAATCCGACGGTGATGAGGCCGACAATGATGTTCGATTCTGTAGTAGTACGCTAATCACTAGTGACTAATAATTACGACCTAGTTGTTCAGAAACATTTATAGCACACTTAATGCATCTAAAATGGTGTCACATGTCCAAGCACATTCAGCCTAGAAATGTAATATATATTTCGCCATATGGTAGAGTGTTAGGCTATCCGCACTCGTCAACCTCTATTTCCATACTCTAAAAGGAATATTCTATCCTAGTCATCGAGATTCTCTACTCTATATCCATTTCTTCCGCACCCATGTTTTCTCTATTCCATACTCTATATCCATTATTCCATATTTTATTCCCCTCCCTCCCCCTTTCTCTCTCTCACCAACTCTCTCTCTGCTACAGTGTTTAGCGTGCTACAGGCCGGTACGCTAGAAGGAGCGATGGGCAAGCGTGCGCGCGTGCTGCAGAGCCGTTTGCAGGCGCGCGGTACGCCACCGCGTGCTGCAGGGCTGTTTAGCGGTGCCCGGTGCGGATAGCGTTAGTGTGTTACGCATACAGGCTACATGACCGGACGGCCGACTTCGACAACCCTAGCTAAGTGGCAAAAAACTTACCCAACTGGCCCAAGAAGAAGCATTACTTAATTTTATTTTACTTGTCTACCGCGTGACTTTCTTGGAAGCAGGCTTCGTTATTGTGTGACGTTGGATGGTTACGTTAGCTTTTCCCAGCACTAACAACCATCAAGCGATGCTTCAGTCCCTCTCTCCCTATATATACATACATACATACGGCCTTAGAAGACACAACCTCTCCACCCTCCAACTGTGTACTCCTTTCATTGGAGTGAGACACAGACTAGTAAACAGTGCCCACTCTGATCAAATTCTTGGGGAGGAAACCATGCTTGATGCCGACATGGATTTGGCACCGAGTCCCTCTCCAATTTCCAGTCCCACATACGATTGCATTGATCCTGGGCAGAATCATATAGGCATAGTAGAAGTTTTGGTCGTCCTGGCCATTGTTGCCATGTTCATCCTACACATACTTGGTTCCTTACGCCGGAGGTCCAGCCACGGTGTCATCCACGCCCTGGTGATGGGAGTCAGCACGCTGTCCTACCCGCTGGTGAGCTTCACCATTGGGCGGATGAAATCTTCCGATTGGTACCTCGATGACTTCCCTGTGTGGGCCGTGTTCATGCTTCTACTCCTTGGAAGCACGGACAACCTCACGGCCTGCCGCCTCAACGACATCGAGAACTGGAAAAGCATCTATGTTAATACCCTATTCAAGGGATTCTTGGTGGTGTATGTTGTTGTGAACATTACCATGTTGCAAAATCATCACTTCCGCTACCTTTACTCGATCCTGGCCATCCTGTTTGTCGGCGTCCTCAAGTGGTACCAGAGGATCGCTTCCATGAGGATGGTGAGCAAGTCCTACCTGTGCAAGAACATGAAGGTGATCGCCGAATACATGAAGCACAAGGACAACCTGCTGAGGTCCTTCGATCCAGTGACCATGGAAGGCTACAAGTACATGGTTGCTGGTGAGAAATACTGCACCAAGCGTCCAGGGCGCGTTACCACAGTGGAGCAGATCTGGCAATGTACCGGGAATCTACTGCTCCGTGAGCGGGGCATGTTGCTCAAGGACGTATGCCTCTCCATGGCGCTCTCCAAGATGCTCAACCGAAGGTTTGCTGGCTTCAAGCTCTCAGAAGCAAAGCTTCCGAAAACTCATGACTTCGTGTTCAAAGGCCTACTTGCTGGGGACAAGCCACATCAGCGGGCATTCAGGGTCATCGAGGAAGAGCTTGTTTTTGTCCATGACTTGTATTACACAAGGTACTCTTACCTCTACCAGAAGGGCCGATACTTAGCTCTCTGTCTTCCTATCATCATGTTTGGCCTATGCTCGTGGCTCGCCCACCTCATCGTTAGGGATCGCTCTACGGATGACTGGACATTCTCTGACTTGACCATATTCATAACTGTTGTCTTGGCATTCCTAGAGCTATACCAGCTATACCTGTACGTAGCCTCAGGTTGGTTCAAGGTGGCGCTGTTAAGAAGCTATGTCACGAAACCTTTCTTGCAAAGAAAGGGATGTTTCCCTGAGATGATCATGGGACTTCTCTTGAGGTTGCAGGCGTTTCGCCCATGGAAGAATAGACTTGGGCAGTACTGTATCATCCAGGAGCTCGGCCACAAAAGTGGAGCTAGCAATTGTCTCCATTATGCTACACTGCGCCTGGTGGACAAGGCCAAGAACAAGAAGGGGTGCAAGAAATCGGTCACGCTATCTGAAAATGTGAAGAAAGCCATCGTTGAATCCTTACTAGGAAGCAACGGCCACCTGACCAATGGGGTAACATCGCTGAAGGAAAATGGCGTTCATGGTCACCTATCCTGGGCATGCAATGGTACCGCTGCTGAGGGATCGGTAACGCGCACCATACTGGTCTGGCACATTGCTACAACCCTGTGTGAGCACCAGCTGGATACACAAGCCAAAAAACAAGACGTGGTCAGAACAGCCTCCACATTATCTCAGTACTGCTTGCATCTCCTCGCTTTCGCACCTCACCTCTTGCCTGACCACATCTCTATATCAGAATCCATACTTGACGAAACAATTGAAAAAGCAGGTGATATACTCAAAGGGGCAAAGACGATGAAGAAGAAGTGTGAGAAACTAATGGAAAATAGCAACCATACTGGTGCATATGATGATGAAGCATCGCTGGTAATCACACAGGGCACTAAGCTTGCAAGAGATCTGCTTGAGCACATACCAGAAATGAGATCCAGGTGGAAGGTCCTCTCTGATTTCTGGGCGGAGATGATGCTGTACATCTCACCGTCTGATGATTCCCGTGCGCACCTCGAAACTCTTGCCAGAGGAGGGGAATTCATCACGCATCTCTGGGCACTACTCACGCATGCTGGTGTGCTGAAGCGAGCCCCCACAGGGCCAAACGATCTTGTCTGATCTTTGCAACCAGTGGATGTGTACCAGTCCATGTATTTCTAGTCATCTTTCCACATTCATAAGTTATAATTGTTATTTTATCATGTCAGTAGTCTAAATTTTCATTACTAATCCTATTCACAATGAGGTTCAACAGTGTTTGTTATATCTATGTTGTTTCATCAATATGTAATATAATAAGCATCATTTTATTAAAGCCTGTTGTACCAATATTAAAAGTGGTAAATTTCTTTATCTATCTCTCTTTCTCTTTCTGTCCATCTGTCCGTCACTTACTTTCGCTTTGAGTCTGTCCACCCCTCATTATATTCCCCTTGGTCCCTCAGACTCGCTTCAGCTGAGTTTCGAGCTGAAAAACCTGTGCTGGTGCCCCACCACTCATGTCATGACATGGCAGTCCGAGTCCATGTGTGTCGTGGTGCTTGTGTGGGCGTGTGGCTCGTCTTCGACCTTCCTTAAACTTACAACTGGTGCACACTTACTCTCACTCTCGCTTTGAATACACCATCCATCCCTCATTTCTCTTTCATCCCTCACACTCACTATCACGTTGAGTTTGAGATGCAAAACCTCTGATGGTGCCGCACCACTCATGTCATGACCTGCCCACCCAAGCCCATGCGTGTCGTGGCATTCGTGCGAGCCATGTGGGCATGCGGGCGTTCGAGTGACACCTCTCTTTCGGCCTTTCCATGTAGATCAAGAGCCATCTCACTGACTCAGCAATCAGGCAGCTAGTGGCGTGCTACAATACATCCCTCAAACTATTTGGTGCCAAGTCAGCCATGGAACCCATTTACGGCCAGCCGTTCGAATCTTTGGGTTCATGGGCCAAAATGTTAACCTTTGCATCCCATTTCTATTGCACCCATTATGTGGGAAGAGAAGACACAACAACATGCCATCCTTCCAACATTCTGCAGCACTTCATCTTCCTTGCGTGATCTGCTAGCCGAATCAAACCGTAGCTAGTCGCCCTGACCTAGGGGCTCAACGCACCTTGCTTTGATCCCCCCCCCCCCCCCACCCACCCACATGGTTCCCAAGCTAGGGCTAAATCCATAATTTTGGGTCCGCTGCTGGATGTTGAGAAGGGAAAAAACCACCACACTATTTATGGTTGGATGATGCCACCGGGGAGAAGCTGATCGATGCCATGGTGCATTAAGTGTTTAGAATCCTCAGTGATAGAGAAGCACCTCAACAGGATGGTGAGGAGTGGAATGCTGCAGCTGGAGGAGCTCATTGCGTGGTGTGCCACCAATGGTGAACAGACTCTATCCACAAATACTGGTGAAGTAGTCGTCAATGCTTCCTCCGATCCAGTTTATAAGTTGTAGAAGCGTATTAAGGTTCAAACTTTACATTCTTTGATCAATAATTTTGTCAATAAATTTTAATTAGTGTAATACAAACTGGATATGGTTATTTTGTAATAAACTGTACTACCACAATTTCTTCTATATGTGTGAAGTGTTAACATACTGGGAACATACATAGTTTGTATTCGGTTTTATTTATAAAATGGGGTGTGACATAGCCTAAGTAGTATTTAGGTAGAAAGGCCCATGCCTACTAACTGCGTTCTGAAGGAACTTGATACAATTTCAATACATCTTCCATCTAAAGAATATTGTTAAAATATTTCAAGCCGAAAGACTGAAAAAAGAAACACGAGTGGATTTTATTTTAAATACCTTGCAACGCACGTTGCAGCATTGATTGATACTGAAACAATCATATACCCAGTGACGTAGTTATAATTAGTAAGCTGCTGATGTCAGTGCTGTTTGTTAGGTTTATACGTCAGTGAAGTCAAGGAGTGCTGCCAAAATTTAAAAATACACATGGTTTGTGCAAGTTGATCGTCAAAATTTAGTCAAATTAGTGTTTATGTCCTTTCTAACGCAAAAACAGACAACATGTGCTAGTTATTTTGTTTTAGTTACAACTTGAACTAATAAGCTACGTGGGTAACATGCAGTGTAGTTATCTCATATCGATTGCCATTGTTCACAGTTGCCAGTGACCTTACATTTCTAGAGTGATGAACCGATGCATACAGGAATGCGCACTACAGCAGACGCGTGCTTTGCCGAGTGCAATTGCACTCGGTAAAGAAGACTTTGCACTCGGCAAAGCCTTTGTCGAGTGCTGCACTCGGCAAAGAGTTGTCGGTATATCCCTTCATGGCAAAGGCTTCTTTGCCGAGTGCCGCATGTCGGGCACTCGGCAAAGGATTTCCCGAGTGCCACGACGGCACTCGGTAAAGATTTACACTCGGCAAAATGAAAATACGAAAAACCCCAAAAATAATAGCAAAATTTTTCAATTTTTTTTTCGGGGGAGGCCGCCACCAGCCAGCGCCAGCCCGTCTTCGTCGAAGTCGGTGCATTTTTTGCGCTAAATTCGTGGCTAACGCGGCCGGCGGGATTCGAACTCACAACCTCTCCCTCGCGTGTCTGCTGCTCTACCACTGCACTACACTGTCACTTGTGTCTAGATTCCGTTATCTATCCTCATATATTATACTTAACCGAGAGTAAATTGCTTGTTTGAGGCCCTAAACGAATTCAAATTAAAAAGTGGTCAACTATAAAGTTTCATAACTTTTTGAGATCTACAATTTTCATTTAGAAAGTTTTTCCATCCGAGGTCATTTCAAAAATTCGAATTTTAAATTTGAGAGATTCAAACGTAGTTTTGCATGATAAGATGATTTCAAATAAAAAAGTTGTCAACTACATACTTTCATAACTTTTGGAGATCTACAATTTTCATTTAGGAAGTTTTTCCATCCGAGGTCTTTTGAAAAATTCAAAATTTAAAATTTTCAAATTCAAACGTCGTGTTTGCATGACAAGATGATTCCAAATCAAAATGTTGCCAACTACAAAATTTCATAACTTCTCAAGATCTACAAAGTTTATTTTGGTCATTTGTTCATCCGACATAGTGGTAGTAACATTGTTCACAAATCTTATATATCTCTCTTCTACTTTCATGAAACTAATATGAGAGATGAGATGTAGATTTTATGAACAACGTTATTGTCGCTTTGTCAAATGAAGAAATGACCAAAATAAACTTTGTAGATCTTGAGAAGTTATATAACTTTGTAGTCGAAAAGTTTTTCATTTGAATTCATTTAGGGCCTCAAAAATTACTTTGAAAAACTTATTTGCCGAGGGCCAAAAAAAATGCACACGGCAAAATGCCTCTTTGCCGAGTGCCAAAACAAAGGCACTCGGCAAAACATTTTGTCGAGTCTTTTTTTTTGCCGAGTGTATTTTATTTGGCACTCGGCAAAGACCGACTTTGCCGAGTGCCCGATAAAATACACTCTGCAAAGCCTCCGGCACTCGGCAAAGTGCCGGTTTCCGGTAGTGGCGCATCTAGCTCGGTGTAGTCAGCTCTATGATCATATGGTTCAACACTGATCGAGTCATTTACACTGGAGTCAACTTCCATTATATTGATGATCCAACCACTGGTACAAAGAACTAAAGATGCATGAATAACTACCGTGATACTGTACCATGCATGCACCTAGGAGGCTTCATATATAGCTGGTCAACTGCGACATGTTATTTATTAGCATGTTATATACAATATGGATATACTATACCATGTGGAATACGGGGTGTATGTATAGCAGCTAAGGTTAGCTTGATTATGCACCTTCTAAGTCGTTCATCACAGAGAAGCTAAAAGAACTAAAGCATGTTTCTGATTCAATTGTCTTATAACTATACATATATCATCGATTGCTAAAAAATCATTGTCCTATAAATATTTATTACAACTATCATATACAATAATAACATTTTTTTTAAATCAATCATGTTTCACTGTGTTCGGCTGGTAGGTAGCACAGTGAATTTCGGATGGTTTTGGATTATTCAATAGTGTTCTGTGAGAGAGAATAAGCTGAAACAAGCTGTAAGTGTACCAGCCGAACACTACCGAAAACCAGCACTTTGCCGAGTGTATTTTATCGGACACTCGGCAAAGACGGTCTTTGCCGAGTGCCAAATAAAATACACTCGGCAAAAAAAAAATACTCGACAAAGATGGCCTTGCCGAGTGTTTTTTTTGGCATTCGGCAAAGATGTATTTTGCCGAGTGCTATTTTTCTGGCACACGGCAAAATCCGTCTTTGCCGAGTGGCTTTTTTCTGGCACTCGGCAAAGATGTATTTTGCCGAGGGCCATTTTTTTGCACTCGGCAAAATGCGTCTTTGCCGAGTGCCTTTGTTTTGGCACTCGGCAAAGAGCCATTTTGCCGTGTGTATTTTTTTTGGCCCTCGGCAAATCATTTTTTCAAAGCAATTTTTGAGGCCCTAAATGAATTCAAATGAAAAACTTTTCAACTACAAAGTTGTATAACTTCTCAAGATCTACAAAGTTTATTTTGGTCATTTCTTCATTTGACAAAGCGACAATAACGTTGTTCATAAAATCTACATCTCTCATATTAGTTTCATGAAAGTAGAAGAGAGATATATAAGATTTGTGAACAATGTTACTACCACTATGTCGGATGAACAAATGACCAAAATAAACTTTGTAGATCTTGAGAAGTTATGAAATTTTGTAGTTGGCAACATTTTGATTTGAAATCATTTTGTCATGCAAAAACAACGTTTGAATTTGAAAATTTTAAAATTTGAATTTTTCAAAAGACCTCGGATGGAAAAACTTCCTAAATGAAAATTGTAGATCTCCAAAAGTTATGAAACTATGTAGTTGACAACTTTTTGATTTGAAATTATCTTATCATGCAAAACTACGTTTGAATCTCTCAAATTTGAAATTCGAATTTTTTCAAATGACCTCGGATGGAAAAACTTCCTAAATGAAAATTGTAGATCTCGAAAAGTTATGAAACTTTGTAGTTGACCACTTTTTGATTTGAATTCGTTTAGGGCCTCAAACAAGCAATTTACTCTCGGTTTAGTATAATATATGAGGATAGATAACGGAATTTAGACACAAGTG